AACCACACTTAAAATGGAAACTTTTTATATTATTTATATTTTACCATAAAAAAAAAAAAGAAATGAGCTATCAGGCTACGAAAAGACATGGAGGAATCTTAAATGCATATTGCTATATGAAAGAAGCCAGGCTGAAAAGGCTGCATACAGTATGATTCCAGCTGTATGATGTTCTGGAAAAGGCAAAACGGTGGAGACAGTAAAAAAGATCAGTGGTTGCCCAGGGTTTGGGGTGGGGAGGAGAGGGAGGGTTGACCAGACTCAGCTCAGAGGATTTTGAAGACAGACTGCATGATTCTGTAATGGTGAATGCATGTCATTACACATTTGCCAAAACCCATAGAATGCACATCACAAAGAGTGAGTCCTAACGTAGTGAACTCTGGACTTCATCTGACAATAATAGTGCATCAATACTGGCTCATCGAGTGTAGCAAATGTACCACAGTGAAAAGATGTTAATAATAGGGTAATGAGTGGGGGATTATATGAGAACTCTGTACTTTCTGCTCCTTTTTAAACCCACAACTGCTCTGAAAATCCAGGCCTAAAAATTTCAAATTCAAGTAAAAAATAAAAACTTAGGATTAAAATTGAAGCTCTAAAAATTAATTTAAAAAATTGGATGGAAGTCAACACTGGCCTTTCCTTCGCACTTGACACCACAGAGAGCAGGCTGGAAGCCTCTTAGCAATCATTCCACCCATTGATTTCCAAACGCTTTGTTTCTTTTTCCAAGCAAAAATGTATGGGGCCCCCCAGGACACTTCAATACACTTCCAAAGCTCACACTATGACCAGGGCAAACCGGATGGGACCAGCAAACAGGTTTGGACCGGCTCAGGCTACATCCTGCCCTCCGGGGCTCCCTGATCATACCTGTCCACCGCTCCCCAGGTCGGCCTGCATTAGCCAGGCTGGATCAGCGGAATTTGTCTGAGCTACAGAGAATGAAGCCGCTGATTCAGACCTTTTGGAGCTGGTCCTAGCTGGTTGCATTTGTCCTAAATCAGCTCGGACCACTTGCAATTGGCTGAAATTAGCCCCAAACCTAGAGTCAAGGGGTGTGCCCCCACATGGAGCCCCAAAGGGCAGAGAAGCTGAGATTCCACTTGGAGTGATCAAACAGGGAGTCTGGGCATAGCTCAAGTTGGAACAGACCAGTTGGGACTGATGAGCACATTGCTGCTGAGGCTGGAGAGAGAGCCTCCTCGCCTCCTGCCTCTAGCCCTGGAGTACCTCCCTGGGTACCTGGCTTGGAGGAACAGAGGCCGTTTGGGTTGGGCTGGGGAGAGGCTCAGGCAGGCGAGAGGAGGAGACTCTTCTGAGAAGTTGGGGGGAGAGGGGGTGTGGTGGGGCCCAAGGGAGGGTTTTGTAAAGAAGCAGGACCCTGGAGCCCATCAGCGAGCTAATGGGCAGTGACATGCAGGGAGAGAGGGGAAAGGGACATAAAGAAGGGTTCAAGTCCTTGAAAAGGTGAGAAACAGCAGGACCCAGGGCACAAGAGGCAAGATCAGCCTCTGAGAGGAGAAGGGTCGCCGCCTTTGGGTGTCAGGAGGGAGGCTGCGAAGACCAAGGCAGATCCCATAGGTCCACAGGGTTAGGGGAGACTAGGTAGGCAGTCACGTCTCTTGAAGTCTGTTCTTCCAACGACATTTAGGGCAAGGTCACCTACTGAGCGCGAGGAGGGTGGCAAGGGGGTGGCGAGTTTGAAAAGAGAGAAGATAGAGCACGGTCACCCCAGAGAAGTGAAACACAGAGGGCTCCATGGGGCAGCTTGAAGGGCCCATTGGAGGTCCAAGGTCATGAATTTAGAGTGAAACCTGGCAGCTCAGTCGTGTGATTTTCTCCTGCAATATTCACCGGCATGCCATGGCCCGGGTCTCCAGAGTCACCAGTGGAATACGATTATGTGATGGTTGGGTTGAACGATACAAGAAGTGAAGCCAGGAGAGAACAACTGGACGGGACCAATGGCAAATGGGAAGGAAGCCCATCGAATGGACAGCAGGCCCCTGAGAATCCCAGAATCATGATAGGGGTGACACTTGAGCAAGGAGACAGGTGTCAGTGTGGGGTGCTTATAGAACGGGAAACTGAGGCCAAGCCAGAGAGGAGACTCATCCAAGGTCACACAGTTATTTGTGGCCGAGGAAGAAACTTCCAGTTTTTGGTCACTTCTTACGTCATTCACTCATGTATTCCATAAGCTCCCAGTGAGTGCCAACTATGGGTCGGGTGCCCCGAACGCTGAGGCCAAACAATCCGATTCCTGCTCTCAAAGAATTCACTGCTCATACATACGAAATTAACCCATCACTTACTTAATATAGCAAGTATATTTGAAATATTAACATGTACATTGTTGAACAAAACCCAGCACGGTTGTGGCTTCTGTGGAGCTTGAAGTAGAGTGATTTACTAACTGTAGGATCTCGGGCAAGGATCTTGGCTTCGAATCTTTGTGTCTCAGTTTCCTCATCGGTAACATGGGGATCCTAATAGTAGTCGCGTTACAGTGTTAATATGGCGATGAAATGAGTTAATAGCGTATAAAGAGATTTAACGTTGTGTGCTCTCAGTAATTTAGCTATTTTTGTTCTTTAGTAATTGGAATGCGTGTATAGCCTCGATTCTCAAAGACCAGCTGCAGCAACCACGGTGGACATCCCACCCATAGTCCCTCGCCACTCACTTTTCCCATACGGGCTGATGGTGTCAGACGCAAGCTCCGGTGATTTTTTTTTTTTTTTTTGCCTGAGTGCTTCTTCATCCTGCTGCAGAGTTGGTTAGCATGGGCCAGAAGCCCTGGGCAGTTAACTCGTCCAGGAGCAGCATTTAGCCAAGGGTGCATACGAATGGGAAGGATAAATACCCACCTTCCTTGCCCCTCGGGTCAGACATATTCTAGCCTGTCATTTCCCCATTGACACTGAGCCTCAGTTGCCCACAGTGGGAACTTGCTCATTAATACACACACGACAGACTTCCCTTCTCCGTGTCTCTTCCCCATTCCGTGTTGCTATTTCCTGAGATCAGCTTTAAAGCAAACCAGCTGCTTACACTCCATCCTTGCCTCAGGATCTGCTTCCGGGGGAGCCCAACCCAAGACAGTTGGCAATACAAATGGTCCTAGGAAGGAGACTCTCGGGACGAGCTTCTGGAACTGAATCAAGGACCACATTCCTGGTGGGAGTGGAGCGGTGCCAGCCTGTCGAGTGCTGAGACCCTCCCCTGACTTGATCTGGAAACGGTGCAGGGGGAAGAGAATGCCTGGGTTTATCTAGTGGCTCTAGCACTTGACAGATGAGGAGCAGGGGGCCAATGGTAACTCAAAGGATTGCAAAGTTGTTCAGGTGAGGTTAACTGCCATGGAAGCCCTGAAGGAAGAAAATGACAGGCTTAGGTCAGCCCACGATCAACTCAGGGGCCAGTGTGAACGCTGGAAGGCTGCCGGGACAGCACTTAACTGGACCTTTCATTCCCAAAGCTGGGGGGGGGGGGGGCGGGCAGGCTGAGCCGAACATCAGACCCAAGATCTGATTGAAAGAGTAGAGAAGGCACACAGGAGGCTAAATTCTCAGCCCCAGTGAGCCTTCTATGTTGAAGTCAGAGAGCTGATAGAGAAAGGCCAGGGCTCTGGAACCTGGAATGGGAATATTCATGTGGATCTGCTTGATAAACCTGAGCCTCTGGACTGGTCAGTGTGGCCCCTCGTCCTTGCTAGAGCTTCCCCTGGGTGGGAGACCATGCAAAGGCCTCATCTGAGCTGGATGCCTCCCAAGACGATGTGGACTTCTTTACCACAGCCCCTGCTTCTCCTACTTGCCATCCAGACCAATAGCTAAAATCAAGTCTCAACGCGGTCTGAAAGGGTTAGTATTGTTTCTTTAGTAGGAGGAAATGGATTCTCCACCAAAAGAGGTGCAGGGCCTGGCTGTGTCCTGGCAGGAACTAGGAGAACACCCCCTGGGAGTGGGTCTTGAAGGTCCTGTATCAGGGCAGGGAGGATCTAAGGCTTAATGGGGAAATTATTGATCTGGGGAGCAATCTGCTATGACTCAGAACATGAGCTCATCTCCTAGTGCTGTTAGAATGGCTTCCAAAGGCTTCGATATGAAGTCAGTCCATAGTAAGTGTGGGGAAGATGACAAAACTGCCTTGGCCAAGCACAGTGGGAGGGACCCCCGAGGTTCAGAGAGGTGGACTTGTTAGAATGGACATATTATGTAAGACCAGAGAACTCACCAACGTGCTATGCTTGGTGTACACAGGCAAAAAAATGGAGCGCTGGCCAGAGTGCATCTCACGGTGGGCCTCGTGGACCCGCAGACCCACCCGTGGTCGTTTCTCCAATCCCTGAGCAGGTCACTGGGAAGGATATACCCCACAGCTGGCAGGAGCCTCAGTTTGGTTCCTAACCCAGTGGTGTAAAAGGCTTCCTCAGGGGGAAGGTGGGGTGGAGGCCCCTAAAACTGCCCCCACCCCAGCCAAGATAGTAAATCAGAGCCACACCACACGCTGGGAGGCTAGCAGAGATTAGAGCCACCCTCAAGGACATAAAGAATGCAGGAGCGCTGGTTCCTATCAGATCCCCATTCCGTTCAGCCGCAGAGCCCCTGTAAAACGGGAAAGGTCATAGCAGACGGTGAATTAGCACAACCTCCCCTAAGTGGTAGCCTCAGTCTCACTGCTGGGCCTGATCACTGCAGCCTCCGGCGCTTAGTAAGCGCCTACTGATCTGCAGGATGTTATCTTCCATCCCTCCCCACCCCCCACCACAGAAGGGGGGGTAGAAGCACTTCCTATTCACCTGGGTAGAGGGCAGTGTCCCTTCACTGTCTTAGCCCTGCTCGCCCTGTCCCAGAGTTTATGTTAACTCTCCCGCTCTGTCACAATGTAATCTGAAGGGATCGCGATCACCCGAGCTGGGCTGGCTCTGCCCCCATGTTAACCGGAGCAGAAACTACATTTCCCAGAATTCCCTTTCCCGCGGAGCTCTGGGATAGCCCGGGCGCAAGACTTTGAGCGAGATTCTTGTAAGATGGAGTTGAAGCCGCCGACGTGCTCATTTTACGCCTGGGAGGTGGGTGCACGGTGTGGGGCGCCCTTGCAGCCCGGCCTGTGGTTACTTAGCGCTGACTTACTTTGTCAGGGGGCAGCCGCCGCGTCTGCAGCTTCTCCACCTGCTGCCACTCCGCGTGCCAGACCCGGTTCCGGGGGCCGCGGGGGGGGGGGGGGGCAAGACAGGACACGTTCCTGCTCTCGCTGAGCTTGTGCTTTCCTGGAGGCCAGCGAGCCGGATAGAAAGGGCTCCCCAAACCGGTTCTCCGCAGCAGCCGGGGACAGTTCCATCTCACCGCCGTGGTGACGGTGACCGATGCCATCCCCAGCCTTTCCATCTCTCTCCGCCTTCTGGGTTTGCATCTTTTTTTTTTTTAAGATTTTATTTATTTATTTGGCAGAGACACAGCGAGAGAGGGAACACAAGCAGGGGGAGTGGGAGAGGCAGAAGCAGGCTCCCCGCTGAGCAGGGAGCCTGAGCAGGTCTTGATCCCTGGGATCATGACCTGAGCCGAAGGCAGACGCCTAACGACTGAGCCAGGCAGGCGCCCTGGGTCTGCTTGAAGACAAGAGTATGCAAAGACACGCTCTGAACCATCAGCCGGGGTTACCTCTGAGAAGTGAAATTGGTAAGGAGGGTTTTCCTGCTTTTACACACAACTGAGGCAAAGAGAGGTTACACAGTGTGCCCATGATCATACAGCTGGTCATTCCGTAGCCGAGCTGAGGCCTTGTCCCCCTGCCTGCTTCATACATCCGGTTTCTTCCCATGACGAGGTCGGGCCCCTGCCCCTCTCATGCCTTCCATCAGGACCCGGCCTCCAGATTTCCAACTCAGACTTTCCCCCAAAATCCCCTTGTGCCTTCACTGCCTGCCTTGGCCAGGGCTCTGTGATAGGACAGAATTAGAACTTGCCTGGTGGTGGGAGGTGGAAGCAATGGCTGCAGAAGAGAAGTGACTTTCAACTTCTAGGAATTGACTTTGACAATCAGATCAGGCAAGGGGCTGAGTCACTGGCAGGCCCCTCCGGCTTGGTTTTAACCAGGTCAGATGGTGCAGCGCGTGGGGGGCGGGTGGGGTGCAGAGGGCTCGGTTCCACTTCCTGCTGTGGAGGTTCAGGCCCTTCGATGCAGTTTCTGTCTCTGATGGGGAGGACGCGCCCAGCAAGTGTCAATCCGGGCCACCTGGGTGGGCTAAATTTAGGTCTTAGGATGTCAAAGCTGCGAGAACCCAATATCTTGTTTTGCAGATGAACGAAGTGAGATGGAGAGTGGTCGAGAGACTTGCCTGGGTCATAGAGCTGGGGTCACAGCTGGGACTCAAACCCAGGCCTCTCCAAAAGTCACCACACTAACTCCAGAACGGGTGCTCTTTCCAAACACCCATCTAAGGCCTGGGGACAAAGTGAGCCCCCGAGAGCTCCTGCACTAATCAGCTATTGTTCTAACAGTGCCACTAAACAACCATTCCCCAAACCCAGTGACTGACAGCAGGCATGTCTTCGCATGCTCTCAGGTCATGGGTCAGCAGGTTGACCGTGGCTCAGCTAATTTAGGCAGGACTGGGCTGGGCCACCCTGCTTCAGGCTGTGGGTTGGGTTCCAGTCTCTTCTACCTGTGTTTATTCTGGGGCCCAGGCCGAAGGGGCCTCCCGACAACCAGGGAGAGATCTTCATGAAACTGTGCTCAGGGGAGAGAAGGGGAGACAGGGAGGCAGCCAGGCAAGCTGAGGCCAGCGTCCGGATGGTAAAGGAGCTCAAGGCCAAACCAACTGGCCCAAGCACGTTTAAGGCTTTGGCTCAAGTCATGCCTGGTACATTCCGATAGCTAAAGGAAGCCACAGGCTGGGCCCAACATAGCAGGCTGGGATGTATGTTCAGCCCAGGAGAGAGAAGGCCGGTAAACATCTGCTGACCAATACTATGACCCCAGCCTATCACGGAGGCACGGACCTGAAGATGGCCCTGCCTACTGCAGCTGCCCTGTTGGTAAACAGGCCATTCTGCCAGGTGCTCTGTTACCTGCCCCCGAGAATGGCCAATGGAAGCCAGGGTGCAGGGAGGGACTGCATGACCTCCTAGGGAGAATTAATTGTTAGAAAATGTGGATTCATGGGCGCCTGGGTGGCTCAGTTGGTTAAGCGACTGCCTTCGGCTCAGGTCTTGATCCTGGAGTCCCGGGATCGAGTCCCGCATCGGGCTCCCTGCTTGGCAGGGAGTCTGCTTCTCCCTCTCCCACTCCCCGTTTGTGTTCCCTCTCTCGCTGTGTCTTTCTCTGTCAAATAAATAAATAAAAAAATCTTTAAAAAAAAAAAAAAGAAAATGTGGATTCAGAGTGGGCAACAGGGCCTGAGCACAAAAGAGAGTCCCAGATTTGAGGCAGTGGCTGGAAACTGAAAGTCCCCTCATTCCACTGTCCTTGGGAGGTATGTGCCACACCCAAGGGAGAAAGCCATCATGCGGTTTTGAACTAAAAGAACAGCTTCATTGGGGCGCCTGGCTGGTTCAGTCGGTAGAATATGTGACTGTTGATCTTGGGGTTGTGAGTTCAAGCCCCATGTCGGGCGTACAGCTTACTTTAAAAAAAAAAAAAGGTAATCTCACCCTCTGTAAAAGAAGAGCTTCATCAACTTATGCATCCCAATTGGGCGTAAACACCTCTACTGCAGGGACTTCCGGACTGACCCTAGAGTGCTTTGTCACAGACCCAGGAGCTGCCTGGGCCCCGGGCATTGGAGCCCTCAGTGAGGGTCTGAGGCCGGGCCAAGGCCAAGGCAGGGTCTGGGTGGAGCAGAGGACAACCATGGTGCCCAGCAGGCCTCCAGAGGTCCACCACACACATCGAGGGGCAGAGACCAACAGAAGTGGATGCAGCCCAGTCAGATTCACAGGCCCACGGGAGGCCCCACTCGAGGACAACGGGATCTATCCTGCGGCAGGTGGGGAGTTTGTGGTGGACTGGAGTTCTGGGCAAGCAGGTGGGCCTGGGCCTGGGGTGATCTCTTTGCACCCATAGGCTGGTGAGACCTGGACAGCCTCAAGTCATGGGCTGAGGTTCCCAAGTTCACGACCCACGTCTGCTGTGTCTCTAAACCCCTGGTGCCCAGCCCCCAGTCAGAAGAGAGTAGGCGGTGCGGATGTTTGCTCGGTGGGTGGGCAAATAATAACACTAACAGCAAGAAACATAACAACAACAGCTGCTTCTGTCCACAGGATGTGAGGGGTGTCCCAGGAGACCCTAAAAGATACCTGGGGCATTTGACGTCTTTTAGGCCCTGGTGAGTCCCTGCCTCCCTCCCTTTTCGGCCTGGTGTGCCCCACCTGATATCGGGCGGGGCCCTGGGGGAGAGGCTGGGCCACAGGCAGCTCAGCCAGGCTGACCAGGAGCCTCAGTGACCAAGAGAGTGGTCAAGTTCGTGGTTTCAACGCCGCTCACAGGCACTCTGGTGCGTGTCCCATATTAGTGAGATGTGTGTGGCGGTGTGATGGGGGGGGTCTGAGTGGGCGTGACCACAGGCATCCAGGGGCCTCAGCGGCAGTGGGGAAGCGTGGTGGTGATAGGACAAGAGGGAGGAGGGTGGTGGCCGGTGAGGAGGAGGGGAACTTCGGAGACTTTAGGGAAGTCAGATGTGTTGTGGTGACACAGCAGGTGGCCAGCTTGGGCACTCTGCCCACGTGATCTCATGGAGGATCTTACAACAGCCCTGCTTTGCAAGTTGCCACCATTTCACAGAGGAGGAAGCTGAGACTCCAAGGAAGGAAGCAGCATGGGCCGGAATGCAGAGCAGAGCTCAGCCAGTCATCCAAATGACAATGGCCATAGGGACAGGGGATTCAAGCTGATCTCTGAGAGGGTCCCTCTGGGCAGGCAGGTGTGGCAGACCCCCTCTGTGGTCCTCCCACCTCCGGCTCCTTTTCTGAGACCTGCCCTTCCCCCCAGGTGGGGCCCCACAGGCCCTGCAAGTACCCTACCTCTCTGCCCCCCCTGATGATACCAGGGATGAACGCTGACTCAAGCTGGGCCAATCAGCTTCTCTCTCTTGCAACTTAGCACTGGGGGTCAGCAATGCTGGGCTGCCTTTTTGGCTGGTTATTCGAAATGAAACGTAAAGCGGGGTCAACTCGCTGTATTTGAGCCACATGTTCATAAAATGGCAGAGAAAAGACACGATCATAGAGAACCTGAACCTGTGCTCAGGGGAGAGAAGGGGAGACAGGGAGGCAGCCAGGAAGCTGGGGCCAGCGTCTGGATGGCGAAGGCCGAGGAGTCTGAGCAAGCACCGGGACTGCCAGGAGTGCAGGATCCGCAGGTGTGCTGTAAACCAGCCCTCTTACCAACAACAGCAGCGAAGCCCTAATCTGTAGCATTTGCCAACGTCCATGATGTAAGTGTTCCCACCACGGCTGATTTCAAGCCACCAACAAATGTCCCTGGGAAGAGACCGAGCTGGGAAGAGAGCCAACTTCATCCAGCATAGCCAACCACTAAATGGGGATGAGGAGTAGCTGATGGATGCCCGGACAGGTGGCCTGGAGAGATCTTGGGGGCAGGGGGGGCAGGGCAATACACCCGAAGTATCACTAGAGGGACCTGGCATAGGTGGGCAGCTCCCTTTAAAGGAGCCAGCTCTGGGCTGCCGTGGGCCTGTGTTTGTGCCCTCAGGGGACCATATTAGTGAGGCCTTCATCAAGGGGATAGCCCAGTTCTCAGAACCCTGACCTGAGGGCAGGACTAGACTAGCAGCAAAGGTGAGGGAGGTTTCATTTATTCATTCATTCATTCATTCATTCATTCATTCATTCATTCATTCATTCATTCAACAAGCAGTTAATGAGCTCTGACCATGTGCCCCGCCCCGGAGTTGCGACAGAGAACAAGGCAGACACTGCTTTTCCCTTCCCTCTGGGAAACTGGAGTCGGGCAGAGGATGTGGGCATGGACACAGGCAGAGAAGGGCTGGATGGGGTGGATGGGGGCACAGGGACCTGGGAAGCTCAAAGAAGGAGCATCTAACCCTCAATGGGGAGGTAACATCAAGGAAGGCTGCCCAAGGGAAGGGTCTGCAAGTTGAGGGCTGCAGGAACCATGGAGGAAGGGGCGTGGGGTGGGGGTAGGGAGAAAGTTCTAGGCAGGGGAACAGCCTGTGCCAAGACCCCAGAGGTGGAAGGACTGAGCGTCATTCAGTCTGGTGGGAGGGTGGGAAGAAAATGAGAGTTGACCGGGAATAGTTAGAAGCCATTAGAGGCTTTCAAGCTGAGGGACACTGTGATCAGTTTACCCACCCACCCCCAAGATCATTCTGGCTGCTCTGGAGGCAAAAGAGGGTCAGGGAGACCCACTACAAATGTCCCAGCAAGAGTCAAGTGGGGCTCAAGCAGAAGAGAAGGGAGACTGAGTCAAAACATATTTCGGAGGAGGCTGGGTGAATGTAGGGGATGAGAAACAAGGATCAAGGATCATCAAGGATCCTGGCAAGATGGTTGGTCTGAAAAATGGACGGTGGCGCCATTTATCAAGGTGGGGTGGGGGGCTGGGAAAGGAATGAGTTGATGTGAGGGAAGCTTATTGTGGGGGTTATTCTGCCATTTTTGACCCTAAGCTTTTTCATTCCACTGGGGAACTGCCCACCTTGAGAGTCTTGGTAGGAGTAGAGGGCAAAGCCCACTGCAAAATGTAAATGCAGAGCCCCTTGCTCAAAAATTATTATGAATTTCAAGATGGTGAAAGGACTCATACTAAGGAGTTCAGAGCATTAGGCAGTGTTTGTGGCTATAGATAGCTTTCCTATTGAATCCTTCCAAGTATATTATTACATATTTATATTATGTATCTGATTATTATCATTATTATAATTTAATACTATTGTTCTTAAAATTACCATTTGCAACTCATTGAGTTGGGCACATTACATTCAGTATCAACATCATTGTTATTGGTTTTTTTTTTTTTTTAAAGATTTTATTTATTTATTTGAGACAGAGAGAATGAGAGACAGAAGGGTCAGAGGGAGAAGCAGACTCCCCGCCGAGCAGGGAGCCCGATGCGGGACTCGATCCCGGGACTCCAGGATCATGACCTGAGCCGAAGGCAGTCGCTTAACCAACTGAGCCACCCAGGCGCCCTGTTATTGTTATTTTAAAAATAAGAAGAGCTAATATTTATCGAAGGCCTGTACTAGACCAGACACTGTGCTAAATGATTTGCATACATTATCTTATTTCACAAATAAAGAAATTGAAGTTCAGAGCAGTTAAAAAACTTTCCCATAGGGCGCCTAGGTGGCTCAGTCGATTAAGCATCTGCCTTCAGCTCAGGTCATAATCCCAGGGTCCTGGGATCGAGTCCCGCATCGGGCTCCTTGCTCAGCGGGGGTCTGCTTCTCCCTCTGCCTTCTCTGCCTGCCACTCCCCCTGCTTGTGCTCTCTCTCTGACAAATAAATAAATAAAATCTTAAAAAAAAAACCCACAACTTTCCCATGATTACATGACTAATACATGATGGAGACAGTTTACAATCTCAGATCTGTCTGAATCAAGCCTATGATATTATCCATTATTCTATAAAACTATTTTTCAAATGTTCCTGATAATAAAGATGATCATCTGACATTTGTTTAAAAATACAGAGCTCCAGGATCCTCCCTTAGAGAACCTGGTTTAGTAGCTCTGAATTAGGATTCAGGTCTCTATATTTTGATCCCTAGAAGATTTTTATTGTCAGGCAAGCTTGGGAAACACTGCTGTGATACCTAGTGATAGGATTGTGGCAAATTCTTCTGTTGTTGACAATTATTCATTCCCTTCCTTGTAAGAGGATCATACAGCCACATCGTTGCCCTACCTCCTGGTAGGCAGAGGTCTAGTTCTCAGCACCACTGCTAGGCTCGGCAGCGTGAATTGCTCTGACCACTGGAAAGTGAGCAACGTGACATCCAGATGTCTAGCACAAACTTTGAATACAGTGGCATGGTTCAGCTTGCTCTCTTGCACTTCTGTCCTCCGCCATGAAAACAACCTGTCCCAGAGAAGGGGCTATTTCTTCAGCCTGGGTTCCAGAACAAGAAGTCATATGAAGCAGTACTAACTTGCCATCCTGGTGAGAAATAAAGATTTGTTGTTGTAAGCCTTCGAGATTTGGGGAAGTTGTTTGTTACACAGCACAGCTGATAAATACAATATTTATTTATAATATTATATAATAACAGTGACATCTATTGAGGACTTTTTATGTGTGAAGCATTTTATTTATATATTTTGTCTCTAATCATAGCAAAAATAAATTGGAAGCTAGGGATTATGATCTCCATTTTAAAGATTTTTTTTTTTTTACTTATTTATTTGAGAGAGAGAATGAGAGAGAGAGAGCACATGAGAGGGGGGAGGGTCAGAGGGAGAAGCAGACTCCCTGCCAAGCAGGAAGCCCGATGCGGGACTCGATCCCGGGACTCCAGGATCATGACCTGAGCCGAAGGCAGTTGCTTAACCAACTGAGCCACCCAGGCGCCCCTATGATCTCCATTTTAGACACCAGGAAACTAAAGCTCAAAGAGGTGAGGTAACTTGTCTAAAGTCAGGAGCAGTGACGACACTGTCTGCTTCCAGAACTCTTCACTCACGAGTGAACCTTCTTGCCCCCTCCCTTCCCCCTCCTCCTCTTCCCCACCTCTCTCCTCTGCTTTCTGCCACCATCCGTCTCAAGTGCAACCTGTTGGCAGAAATAGACATATGCAATATTTAATTCACTTTAATTAAAATATATTTTAGTGGATTTTTTTCTGGGACATAACTCATTTTGATGGGAACCCATTGGATTTTAATGGGAAACCTATTAGAGGAACATATTGTGATCTTTAATGAAGCTGGGCTGTGTGGAGAACCACCTACAGGTAATTAGAAACCCCCCAGGCCCTTGGGGAATAAGGTGAGCTGAACTTCAGTTTGTTTAAGACAATTAATGCAGACAATGATCTGGGAACGAATTAAATGGTCCTTGATTAGGAGCAGCTGTGCAGGTGGCGTCCTCAGGAAAATGGGACATGCAAGTGGGGCTTTTAAGAAAGAGTGATTATTAATGCTTATCTGTTTATATTGGCAGCTAGCACTTCACCAGGCTGTCGGTTTGATCAAGTGGCTCCATCTCCCCACCCCACCTCTTCATGCTCTCTTTCTTCATTGATAACTTCTGGGTCTGCCAGGTGTCTCAAGGGACCTGCTTGCCTCTGATAGCCGATGGGTGCATCCACATTGGCAGGCTGGGAGCCCCCCTAACTCCCACAAGTGTATGCTTCCATATTGATGGGCACTTCTACACTGGTGGGATTGGGAACCTCTGTATTGTCAAATATGGTTGTTCCTACAGTAGTTAGAATAGGAACATCTATGCTTTTTCACTTGCACGTTTTGTATTTGCAGCTCTAAGAGCCACTGTACTCCTAAAAGGAAGCATTGCCCCAAGTCTGGAATGGGCTTATTCCTGCTGGAATACTGAGGAAATCCACACTGAAAGAAATAATAAGCACTGCACTGACCGTAAGTACTCTTGTACTAGAGATGAGCACATTTCCCCTTTGCCTTGATTGAGGGCCTCTGCACATGCAGGGAGGATGCATCTTCACTAGAAGAATGGAAAGGCTGCCTCAAAGAAGAGACATCTAAACTGGGTCCTGGTGGGAGTTAGCAAGAGTTCACTTCTATATTGACAGGAATGGAGCTTACAGCTGTGGGTGCTTCTACATCCATTAGAACGAAAGCATCTGCAGTGGTTGGGCTGGGAATGTCCCCAGGGACAGGAATGGGTATGATTATCTTGAAAGAAAAACTGGTGGGTCTATATTGGCAAGGAAGGGTGCTTCACACAGGTACATATGGGGCGCTTCTACACTCACATGAATAGGAAGCCCTACATTTGCTAGAACAAGCGCCTCTATAGATGGGCATGTCTACGTTAGCAAGGATGGGCACTTCTATGCTGGCAGGGGTAATTCCTAGAAAAGAATGGAACTTTTGCATTGAAAGGAATGGCTGTCTCTTCGTTGGTGAAGGTGGGCACTTCTACACTGATCTCTGACATTTCCTGACTCCTGACCATTAAAACCAGAGTGATTCCACTGACTTTTCCGAAGTCCCAGACCATTCCCTCAACTCCCAGCCCAGGGTTACTTTGTCCAGAGGTGGAGGAGGCAGTCACACCGTGGGTGCTATGGGGCAGGGAGAGACAATGGAGAGAGGAAGCAGGACCACTGGTTACCTACCTGCCCAGGAGTGGAAGGGAAGAACCCAGAGTAGGTCCCAAGCAACTTTTTGGTACTCAGAACCAGTGAGGCCAGGGAGGGTGGCAGCCAGGACCCCCCACCAACACCAGGCAGCCCCGAGCCCCTTCCCCAATCCCCTCACAGCTCAAGCTTCTGGCAGGGGCTGCTGTGAGATTCCCCATGCAACCCTGACATGGGGCTGTAGCTAAAACATTGGTCTGGCAGTTTTCCCTCTTTAAGTTGAAGTGTGATGTTGGCAGGCAGTGAGCTGTGGTGGCAGGCTGCCAGAGGGAGCATGTGTTGGAAATCCTTGTTCCACGTTGCAGCAATCTGGGGCTCCCCCACCCACAAACTGCTCCAGAGCCAGCCAGCCACGGGGGCCAGAGCCTCCCACTGATGGGGAGCAGCCACCAAGAATAGGGAATGATGAGGAACAGAGGCTTAGAGAAACCAGGGATAGAGGAAGACGTGAATAGAAATGGAGCCACAGGGAGACATAGCCACAAAACCACAGCCAAAGACAGACACAGAGAGACCCATGGAGACCCAAGGTCAGAGAGATCCAAGGAAGATAGAATTGAAAGAAATTAAGAAGCATGGGAGATTGGATAAAAATGACAGACTGGGTCCAGTCATCTCTCCCCAAATCTCCAGTTATAACAGAAAAAATATATGTATTGATGTAAGTGTATAAACTATTGTAACAGTTGTAGAAAACAAGAAAGTTCTCAGTGGATCAGAAACTTTTTGGAATTCCTGAAAGATGGAAAGTAGACAGGCCTGAATTGACAGAGAAGCCCATAGCCCAAAACACACAAGGAAAGCATCACTGTGCAAGATGGGCTGGTTCCAGGAATGCTCCAAGCTCAGAGTCAACAGGACCACAGGATACACAGAGCAGCAGGGGACCAGTGCAATCATGAGAGTGAGCGAATGAGAAGCTGCATGTGAAGCAGCCAGGCTGGCCTATTCCTGACCAACTCCCCCTCCCCACTCCCTATTGCTCATGCTGAGCAGCTAATGGCAGGGGAGTTTACCCATAAGCCAGAGCAATGAGTGGACATATTTAGGTCTAAGAGTCAAGGACATGCCCTGGGGAATCTAGTGACACACTGGGAAGTGGGAAGAAGACCAGCTTCCATCACATACCACTGACAACACTTCTCCACAGTGATTACCAGAGACAAACTCTTGCGGTCAAAACCATCCTTCAGAGACAGGCAGATAGAGCCAATCACCGAAGAAAACCAAGAATGCCAAAGCATTTCAGGAAAATCAACACTGTGAAAGAGGGGAATCAAATTTAACCAACAGAAGACCTTAAACTCAAGGGAATAGACTTAAGGGGGCAAATACAAACAAAAAGTAGACTTTAAAGTAGTATAATTACCATCCCTAGGGAGATTGGAGAAGCTATCATACCCATAAATTGAGAACAGGCTGTTACTAAAATGAATCACTAAGAGATCTTGAAAATTTAAAATAATTGTTCAAATTTAAAACTCAGTAGGTTGGCTGAATAGTACAAAATATAGCTAAAAGGAAAGTTGGAATAAATTTAAAGACATGCAGCCCCTATGCCACACCTAGGTGTAAGCTTAGAGAAACTTTTTCATGTGTGTAAGGAATTATGTGAGTGTTCACTGCAGAATTGTTTGATGCAATTAGAAAAAATTGGAAACAACCCATAAGCTAACAGAGAATGGATAAAAAAAACTGTGGTTTGGTCACATTACAGAATCTTATGCAACAGGTACCTACAGCTACATGTATCCACAGGGATCAATTTTAAAAATATAATGCTGAGTGACTAAAAAGCAATTGCAGAATGATAGATTGGTACAATATCTATTATATAAAGTCAAAACATGAAAACAATAGTATACACCTTTTCTATGCATTCAGTATAACATTGATGGTTATATTTCAAGAAAATTTACATTAAAATTGGAAAATGTGTATCTGAAATACATAGAGAACTGTTACAATGTGATAATAGGACAAACAATCCAATAATAATGGAGAAAAGATTTGAACAGAAATTCCAAAAAGGAAGATATATGAATGCAATAATCACATTAAAAATCCCCAGCTTTATTAGTCACTAGAGAAATACAAAGTAAAATAATAATGACGAACCACCATACACTAAAGTTAAAAAGACTGGCAATACCAAGTGTTAGCAAGGATATGGAGAAACTGGAACTCTTATAGGTTGCTGGTGGGCATGCAAAACAGCACAGCCAATTGGAAAACAGTACATTAACATAAAGTTAAGAACACGCTTACCCTGTAACGTAGCAATTTTACTTTCATGTATTTACCCAAGAGAAATTAAAACATATGTCCACCCAAAGATCTGAACACAAATGTTCATAGTTGCATTATTCAGAATAGCCCTAAACTGGAAGTAACTCCAGTGTTCATCAGCTGGTGAATGGATAAATGAATTGTTGTATATTCATACTTGGGAATACTATTCAGCAATAAAAAGTAATTAAACATTGATAATGCATGCAAAAACATGGCTGAATCTCAAAAATATTATGCTAAGTGAAATAAACCAAACATAAAAGAATATGCACATCTGATCCCATATATGTAATTCTAAAAAAGGCAAATCTATAGGACAGAAAGAGGTTGTTGTCTAGGACCAGGGTAGAAGCAGGTGATCAACTGCCAAAGGGCACATGAAAATTTTTGGGGGTGATGGAATTCTTTTATATCTTGACTGTGATGGTGGTTACACAATTTCATACAAATACCAAAATTCATCAAATGGCACACTTAAAAATACGTGAATTATATAGTATACAAATAATACCTTAATAAAAAGTTAATTTAAAAATCATAAAGACCAAATTCAACATAGTTGTTACCTATGGACAGAAAAGAAAGGGACTGGAATTGGGAAGAGAACACAAAGAGCTTCAACTTTATTGACAATATTTAGTTGCTTAAAAATAGAAATATAAAGCAAATAGGGCAAAATGTTAAAACTGGGTAGTGTGTACTGGTGTGTTTGTTATATTATTTAGTCTTTATACTTTTAAATATATTTTATGTTGAAATATTTCTAAATTGTTTTTGAAATAATGAATTAGTGAGTTAAAAATAAGCTGAGGGAGGGGCGCCTGGGTGGCTCAGCCGGTTAAGCATCTGCCTTTGGCTCGGGTCATGATCCCAGCATCCTGGGATCGAGCCCCGCATTGGGCTCCCTGCTCGGCGGGAAGCCTGCGTCTCCTTCTCCCACTCCCCCTGCTTGTGTTCCTGCTTTCACTATCTCTCTCTCTGTCAAATAAAAAAAAATAAGCTGAGGGATGGGGCAGTTGGCTGGGTGGCTCCATTGGGTGGCTCAGTTGATTAAATGTCTGAGATAATGATCTCATGGGTCATGAGATCAAGCCCTGTGGTGGGCTCTGTGCTCATCAGGGAATCTGCTTGAGGATTGTCTCCCTCTGCCACTCCCCCCACTCGTGAGTATGATCTCTCTCTCTCTCTCCCTCTCTCCAAAATAAGAAAATAAATCTTTAAAAAAAATAAGCTGAGGGATTCTCTTAAGACTGTGGTGTAAAATGACTAAGAGAGATGGAGAATGAAAAAATAGTTAAATGATAGAGAAACTAGATACAGAAATTTCAACATTTTTCTAGTCAGAGTTTCATAAGCAGAAGATGGAGAGAGAAAGATAATCAATCAATCAATAGGAGAACATTTCCCAAAACTGGAAGCAGTCAAGAGTCTTAAAGTTGAGAGGATCAATCAAATGCTAAGCAATATAAATGGAGGGAGAAAGATTCATTCCTGACACACAGTGATAAGATTTCAGAAGGAAAAGTCTTAAAAGGTAGAGAGGGGATAGCACTGCTTATTCTCAGAGGAATAAGATTCAGATTGGCAAATGATTTCTATTTGGCAACTGGAAAACAATGGACAAAGAGCTTCAAATTTCTAGAGAAAATTGTTTTGATCCTAAGATCCTGTGCATAACTCAACTAGCCTTCAAGAGTGAGTGGGGGGGCGCCTGGGTGGCTCAGTCTGTTAAGCAACTGCCTTCGGCTCAGGTCATGATCCTGGAGTCCCTGGATCAAGTCCCGCATCAGGCTCCCTGCTCGGCAGGGAGCCTGCTTCTCCCTCTGACCCTCCCCCCTCTCATGTGCTCTCTGTCTCTCTCATTCTCTCTGTCTCAAATAAATAAATAAAATCTTTAAAAAAAAAAAGAGTGAGTGGGGGAGGGATCAAAGATATTTTGGACAGAGTCTCTCTGAACGAATATAT